CTTCTATCCATTCAAGTGCAAATTTTCTCTTCTGTCATTTTTTATGGCCGCTTTTCTAATACGACGAAGAAACAACAACAACAGCAATAAAAGAGACAGCAATGGTAAATGCAAAAAAGTGCATTGTGTAAAAGTTGCATTTTACCAACAACCAATTGTTGTCGGTCATACTTGTTGCACCGTCAAATGCAATAACACTTTAGGGATTGCGATTTGGAAAATTCAAGATACACAGGATTAGGACAAAATTTGCATATCGTAATATCAATCCACTATGTATCTACGCTACGAAATTTTCCAAATTTTGAATTAAAAATCACAGTATGTATTCCATATGCGAAAAGAGTATCGGCCTAAGATAACAAGACATTGTTTAGGACGAATTGCTCAAAATAAGTTTTTGAATGCTGACATCTCTACAAGAGAAAAATAGCAAACTAACATTGTTGTTAGGTAAATGCTTGTCTGTATTAGTGTACGTACGTAATTTTACTCTAAATGTTGTCGATGTTGCTCTTCCAAAGATGGCTGTGGTTTTTGTTACCGATGCAATTGTTAATAATAGAAAACTTTCATGTTACCATCAAATGTTGTGATGATGATGTACAATGGAGAGCTAGGTAGGTAGTGGATATTTGTATTCATGTTGGTGTTTGTATCTCTGTTACTAAGATGTAATTTTCCGATGCAATGCAATCCAATCCATTACAATAATAAAAATGCAATAATAATTGCATTTGTCCCACTTTACTTTCACTCGACAAACTGCAAACGGCAGACATGATCGTCGCTGTTCACTGCCACATAGTAACACACATACATACATGCAAAATGTTTTAATACTTCCATAAAAAATTATCTAGAAACTTTCATTTGTCTAATAATTAATGGAATCTATATATAATTGAAGCACGTAGTATGTTTTTTATCATGGTGTTCTCAAAATATAGGATTTGCAATATATCGAAATACCGATCAGCTTCGACTGCAATATTATTGTTTTCATATATCTCCGGTAGGGAGTCTACTGTGGAAAAATAAGTATATGTTTGGACTAACATGGTGATTGTGATAATTTCATATTACAGGAAAAATTATATTAGATGAAATGAAAATACTTTTTTGGAATAGCTTTGCATTACTCATAATAAGTTATTCGTGAAAAAATTAACAAAGGTATTATCTATATGCAACAAATAACAAATTAAATTCAAGAAGACAAGAATCTCTATAATTACCATAATTAAAAATATGAATAAATGTACATGGTCAAACTTGCCATTTTTTTAATATTCCATTTTCAAGAAATCGGTTTCTTTATACCCTTCAGCCTTATGACTAACGATGATACGGTGAAAATGTGATTCATCAAAATATTGGTTTTAGACCAAATCCGTTTCAGAAAATTTGTAGTCGATTTACAAATGTCCGTCCGTTGTCAGTCAGTCTGGCCGGCTGGCGCGGATGATAACTCTCAAACTTTGTTTATCTTCGAAGATGGGGAAATAAGTTCGAAGAAATGATTTACAGAAAACGCAACTAAATCCGCGAAATTAAAAAAAAAAATCATTTTGTTGGCTCTACTTTTACTTTAGCACGAAGCCTGTGAAATTAGTGGCTTAGTCACAAGTCCAGAAAATATTAAAAAAAAACTGGGTTGCATCAACCTATTTGAACCCATTTTTTGCATTAAAGTGGACACAGCTTCCGTTGTCAGAGTTTTTTTCATGGAGGCTGCATTTTCCGACGGTGGGTACAAAATATTTTCCTTCCGATTTTTGCATTAAAATCTTCTAGCAGAATTTTAATGTCATGACCAGGACAGCGGTCATATGCTGTTTCTAGGCGCTGATAAAATATGTCTTTGGTCTGCTCATCTTTGTCTTCCGTCGGAGCATGGGCGCAAATAAGACTAATGTAGAAGAACTTCGCTCTTAAACGGATTATAGTAATCATCAGCTGTAGTGAATCTGGAGACGAGGTCTTTTATTCTCCTGTTAACCATAAATTCGCATTCAAATTCATGTCTCGTTTCATGGCAGCTGTAAAAAGTGCGTAATCGTCTGATTTACTTACGCCTGACATTTTCCATTTCCTGTAAGGCAATAATATCGGCTTAATACTTCTTGAGTACATCCGCCAAAGCGAAAACTGCGCCTGTTACCTACAACGTGAGATGAAAGAGGGACCAAGACTTCAGTGAAGCACCCTGATTTCTGCAGTGTATTCCAATAAGATAATATTGAACTATTTTCGACAGAGTCCATGAGATCTTTTCAAATTTCAAAAACATTTGATTTTCGAAAAATTTCTAGGACTTCGCAATAGGTTCACAACTTTCCTCAAAAACACAAATACTTATTAACAATATTTACACATACATTCATATGACATACATGTGAAATGCTATTACATATCTCACTCCAACCATCGAATGTTTTTCTTGCAGTAAATATTGCAACAATCTGTTGTTGCACGACTATGTATAGGTGTACGCTCGTTCGTTTGATATAGTTAGAGGGATTGAATGCGCCTGTTGCTGTTACTCTGTATTTGCTGCAATGTGTCAGTGTGTCTGTGAGTTGTTTGATGGAAAAAGTAGGTCAAGCTCAATACCAGCGAGATTGTATATTTCTTGTTTTCATTGCCTTTTGCTTTGGTTTGTTGGATATATATTTTTTGTGCAACTTGCAGTTTGACGAACACGCAGACAGACAGACTAACATTGCTTCTAATCTCTCTTTTCTCTGTTGTTTATTTTCATTTGGAAACCTTTTACCATTCGACAAGCTTTGGATTGCAGTGGCTTGGTGGTGATGGTGATGCAGCAACAACAATAATGGAAACAGTGTAATAAACAACGGCAACAGTTGGCTGGCTGTGGGTTGGTGTTGCAATCGAGTTGTTGCATTTTCTTTTTTCTCTTTCCATGTATTATTATTGTTGTTGTTATTATTTAGTTAACCATTGTTTGCTATTCAGTGATGTTGTAAAGTAAGAAGTTGGCAACAAGTTTTCAAATCTGCGTTAACATAAATTATATTCCATAATATTGTCGTTGTTGTTGTAACTGTGTTTTGTTGTTGTTGTTGTTTCTAAATGATATTGACGTAGAGTTTTTTCCACTAAACCATCGTTTTCAATGTAGGTCATTTCGACAATTTCCTTGCACAAACAGACACACGCCGGAAAAGTGCATAGAAATAGAAAAGCAAAAACAAAATAAACGCTGCTAATAGTGTTTTTCCTGGCCTAAGCCATTCGTGTTGCGCCTTCTTTACTGTGAACGGTAATATGTGTTGGAGTTGACCTTTATTTGAAAACAAATACAGAAACGACGCTGTTTGTAAGGACAACTAATGCGCGGGTGTACACTTAACTGATCTTGGGAAAGTTATGCCATGGAAATGGTGATTGTCTACTTGGCATAGAATATGACCTTTTGAAAAGGAATAGGCAAATAATAATCATTTGGAGAAAAATTCTTTGTGGATGAACTAATATTGATCGAATTTGGAAACGTAGATTTTCACTTACGGTTCGTCGTCGTCGTTAAACATTTTAAATCCGATTAGGACGAACCGATACGACATTACATTATTTCAAAATATAGTAGAATAACATTAAAATTCGGAAGATAGTTGAAATCTGCTAACTAACATAAGTTAAGAGAAATTTTATAAAAATTGCAGTTGCATTTATTCAGTTTTTACAAACTTTACTAGATACGGTTCCATAAAATTCCACTAGAAGATAACTAATTATGATAGTTGTGTGGCTTAAGATTTTAAATTTTAATCGATCGAAATATCGGACCGTGTTTGAAATAATATGTTTGACGTTTTGACTGATATGCAATTGCAGACAAAATGACTACTAACAATTTAACTCTATGTTTTAGCCTATCAGAAATCCCTGTTCTGACGTAAGATTTTTAAAATTGTAAATTATTTCATTTTGCATATTAATGCACATGTATGTTCTGAAAACTTGGAAAAACAAATGAATCGTTAAGAAAAATGTTCCATGAACAACTTTTGACTATAAATGTAGGAGTTGTACATTTAAATTCCATTCAGGCGCTGAGGCATAATTGTAATAATGCATTTCTTATAATAATGATGAAATTAACACAAAAATAAAAAAATTAATTCAACTTTGGGTTCACCGGATATTCGGGTCATGTTACTGAGCAATTTATACTAGAAAATTAAAAAAATAATTCCATGATTGATAATTTGCCATCCCCCTCCCTGTGCGCCAATTAAAAACATTTAGGTATTTTTTTATTTTTTATTTTATTTAATTTTTGTTTAAAACTATTACAATAATGAATAATTAATTATAATTATATATGTTTTATTTTACATATAATATAGTTTACTTTATTTGTTATTTACTTTTGACATCTTCTCAATTTGTAACTGTTCCTTGAAATGGAAATTTGAATTGTTTTTTTTTATTTACATAGAGACAAAATAATATTAAGTATATAATTTGTTGTTAGTAATAAACTGTTTGTTGTACATTAACTTACAATTGTATATATTAATATGTATATTTTATGCGTGCCTAAATAGAAGTTTTTATAGTTGTCATCGATTTGTAAAAAAAGAAACGCATATGTTGATAAATGTAGAGCGCACGCATTTCAAGCCATTAATTCAAGAAATATTTCCATTTGCTTATAGGGAGTAAGTTATGTTGCTGTTACACCTCAAAACATATTGTATTTGCTTTGTAGCTTATTGTAGTTTTTGATTTGTGGGATGAATTTGCCAATAATTGGCGCCGGGTTGATGGGGGAGATTTAATACATGGAAATGATTTGCAAAATAATCTAACAATTCACACAACGTTCTATACAGATTTTCAAATAATGTAAAATAATCCAAATAACTCATTATGGTTGATATAAAAACGATCGGTATAAATAGTATCATCATGATATTGTACGGATGTAAATTAAAACAAGGTTTTCAATTCTTTTGGAAATGGCTAAAATAACGAAAAAATTAACGTCTATGCAAAATATTGGACAGTGTACGCATTTGTTTTTGCAATTCAGAATCCATTCTGGCTGCTTCTTCCTCAAAAATATTGCGCATCTCACTCAAGTTGGGCAACTTATTCGATTTTATATTTAAAATATCACCAAAGAATTGCGTCCAGACGTGTTTCTTTAGATAACGTGGCAGTTTCTGTTTAATATCCCAGGTATCACCTCGCTTTTGTAATTGCATATATTCGCCAAATAGCATAACATGCACTGTTCCCGCAATGCAAAATAGATCCGTTTCGTAGGACCACGAGCGCCCCTCTTGCATCTCTATACAGGTAAAGCCGTCCGTTTGTATGACTTTCCGGAACTTTGTCTTGTCGCCGTCGGGAAATAGCGTCATATCGATGGCACAGCCAAAATCAATTAGACGTAGTGAAGGAAAATGAAGATCGGTACTAGGCACACGCATCAATAGGAAATTATCTGGCTTGATATCGGCATGAATTATTTTATTCTGATGCAGGTGGCTGATTATGTTACATATTTGCGCGGAGAAATGCATGACCAGTGATTCATGCATTACTTTGGTTGTGGCCTGTCGAATTTTATTGTTGATGTCCAACAAAGAGCCGAATGGTGAAAATTCGGTAGCAATAATGCTGGCATTCGGCGCAATTATGGCAGTTGATATATCCATTAGACCGGGTAAAATATTAGGCGACTTTATACGCTTTAGTACCTGTACAAAATTTTAAGAAAGAAAAACATTAAAAATGCGCCTAAAAATTGGCTACAAAATAAAAATCTCTGAATAACATTGAAAAGCTTTCAGTGTATGGAAAATCAAAAAATTGAATTTGGGAGATTATTGATAAAACGGTAAACTTTAATTTAGAATACAAACTACAAAATATGTTTAACAATATAAACAAATACCACAACATACCTGATCGCATATATATATCTCCCAGGTATTTGCAGGTTTTTGAAATTTCAGTGCTACAACAGCACCAGTAACAGCGTCTGTGGCTTTATACACCGAACCATAGGAACCACGACCAATCTCTTTGTCGATATTAAATTGAATGCCATCGCCTAATGTCAACTGTCGCGTGTTGGCAATTTTGGGTAAGGGTGTTTGTATAATCTTATAGTTTTCATGGGCCTCACTTTCCGTTCCCGGAAAATCAAGCTTGGTAAGAAAAGCTTTACACAATTCACTGCTAAAGGGATCTATAGCTTCTTTGGCCATATGTCGTTCGATAGTCTCTAAGGCCTTGGCCAAACGCCGTTCTTTAGCCTCAATATCATGTTGGGTGGAGAAATAGGAATTCTCTTGATAAGTGGAAATATCAACAGCGTTACTTTGATTCAGTGTGGTATTGTTTAATGCTGAGGCATCACGGAAATTGAGTCGACCCACAGCATTGGATAAAGAACAATTTGAATTATCCAGAGCAGCTGCACTTGAGAATGAATAGTTGGCATTATCATTAAACGTAGCATTAAGATGAGATTTATTATTGTTATCCGAAGGGATTTTGGATAAACTATTATTGTTGTTGCTGGCATTCAAGGCGTTTATATGGCCATTTTCTGCTGATGATGAATTGCTATTGTGACAAGCCAGAACATGGAATTTGTTAGAAACTTTCTTTAATTTCGATGATTTTTGTCGCTTGGCGGAAGTCTTTGGCGTAGATGTTTGGCCCAAAAGATATGGATGGAAACTATGATTATTGCCATTATTCCGTTTCAAAGCATTTTCAGGCATAGTTGGCGAGTCAATCTGAAAGGAGATATATGTATATAAAAAGAAGTAATAAATGAAGGATGAAAGGCTCCTACCTCTGGCTGATGATATATTCTCTCAATGGTATATGCACTGTAGCTATTATTATTGCCATTAGGAGTTTCGGTGCCGGTAGTGGGTCGTTCTTTTTTGAATTTTATTTTAAGCGTTTTATTTTGAGATCCCTGGCTAGGAGTGTGCATACTAAAACGTATTGTAGAAGCTTCAATTTGATCCTCCAAATCATCTTGCGTATTAACGGCATTATGTTGATAGTGGACTTGCTGTGGCTGATGGTAGAATTGTTGCCGTTGTTGGTATTGTTGTTGCTGTTCCTCCTCTTCGGTATCTGGATTATCGTCATCCTGATCCTCTGTATCAGCACCAGCATCGTCATCTGCCTCCTCCTCTTCTTCGTATCCTTCTTCCGAAGTTTTTGTGTACTGTTGTGGTTGCTGCTGCTGTTGTTGTTGTGGTTGATGATATCCAGGTTGATAGTTAGTAACCATCTGTTGAGGCTTGTGATGAATTTGGTTAACCTGCTGATGGTTTTGCTGTTGCTGTATCTGCTGTGATTGGTGGTAATATATATTACTGTGTTGTACTTGTTGCTGTTGTTGTACATAATAATGCTGCGTTGTTTGTTGTTGCTGCTGCTGATGATGCACGGGTTCTTTTTTCAGAGAACCTATTTCTTGAACTTGGGCATGATTTTGTTGGGAGTTGGATTGTAGTTGTTGGGTTTGATTTTTTTGCTGCACTTCGGCCACAGATTGCTGTTGCTTTTGTTTCAGTTCTAACATTTTCTGTTTATATCTTCTTGCCCTTATCTCTTCCGGGCTATATTCTACGCCTTGGCCTTGTGGATACACTGTACTTTTGGTATAATAACATATTTTTTGTGGATCATCAGGCTCCTCCAAGAACAGGGCAGGTTGCCACGTCTCATGGTTGTTACGACAGTATGCTGGAAATTTCCTATTGGTTTTTAATCCGGGGACCTGAATGGAAGGGGTGTTGACTGTAGCCGTCGATTGTGCTTCTACAGCTGTTGTTGCAGTTTGGTGCTTTGTTGAAGCCTCTAACGCCCGTTCATACTGTTGGCGGGTCATATTCGTAGTGACTGCCGGTAACTGCTGTTCAACGGGCACAGTTCTTTGATTCTGCGTTGCCTGGTGGTTCGTTGCAGGATGAACGTTGTAGGCATGTTGCGGAACTTGCGTCGCATTAACAGTTTGTAATTGAGTTTGGTGGACAGTTGTTGACATCGTATGTGGGGGTTGTTGTTGATGGTGCTGAACATGAACTGGGTGTTGCTGTTGTTGCTGATTTCCCTGAACCTGAACATGCTGTTGATGTGGATTCCCCTGAAGATGAACTTGCTGTGGATTCCCCTGAACATGGACTTGTTGTTGAACTCCCGCTGTATAGTGAGTGTGGACCTGCTGTTGGTGATAAACCTGATGCGTTTGTTGCTGTCCAGAAGTCTGTGTCTGTTGCGGATGGGCAACTGGCTGCTGCGATGCTACAGTTTGATTGGGAGCAGTTGATGTCTGGTGATAGGAAACCTGCTGTCGATATTGTTGTACTGTATGCTGTTGTCCTTGCTGTTGAACATGATGAGCCGGAGCATTTGTGGGAGGATTTTGGTGGACGTAGGCAGGATGTTGCTGTTGTTGAAGCAGTTGTTGTGCATGCACTGACTTGGTGTACATCAGTTTGCTGTGAGCGTGGTGTAAGTCTGCATATGGTTGTGCCTTTTCTTGAAACGCTAAGTTGTAAACAGCTTCGGCTTCCTTAAAACTATTTATGGACTCATAATATGTGGCCCAGCCTATATAGAAGCAAGCGGCCTGCTTACCTACTCCACGCTGATGCAGCACTTGGTAGAAATGTAGTGGGTTGTTTTGCATGTCGATGTACTTCAACCATAAGCGCACCATTCTCAAGTCCTGTTTGTAGTAGTCACTGTGCTCGTACAGTGTCAGGCACCGCTCCAGTGTCTCGCGAAACTTATTATCAGGATCACCATGACCATGATTCTCGTACCAACAAATATAGTTCCACCAATGGTCTAAGGGATCTGGACCCTGATACAATGCTATGGCATTTTCCCATGCTTGCTTGTCCTTGAGAAAACTGTGCATCTGATCGGCAGACACAGATGACTGTCTCATGTACGAATTCATAGCCAAAACTTGGAAACTCAAGTCCCACTTGTTTTTGCAACGACCCCTTCCCCCTCCGATTGACACAGTTGCACTATCTGATAAACAAATGCAGTGTTGTCAGTTTCCACACAATATTTGGGATGTAAATAACCCCGCGTCAGCCGCGACAGAATTGACGAATTTTTCAAGACTCCACAATCAAGTCGTTCGCACCTTTTCTAGTCGATTCGTTTCAGTTCCTTTTGTGCCCTTCGGAACAGGCTTCAACTTCAAACACTTTTTAAACACTGCATTCAATGCATCCGAAATAAAACAACAACAATTACAATTATTAAAACAAAAATATCAAAAATTAAGAAAAGAATATTTTCCTCATTTCGTGTGAAGTAAGAATGTATAAAAGCGTAGCCGATTGGTAACCATGGCGGCGACAAAGCATAAGTTGTCGACGCCGTCATATAGTGGCGTCGAATCGAAAAGTTATCGACTAATCGAAATCGATATTTGGGTTCATAAAAAATGTAAACAAGGCGGTGCAGCATTGAAGTTTTTTCAGGGACATTTGGTTATTTTATCAGGAAGCTGCAGATCGCTTTTAATAGAGTGATAAGGTATATATACTCATTAAAGCGTTGGCAACATGTTACTCCATTTGTCATAGACTTCCTCGGCTGTACTTTAGCTGATTTCCATGGTCCATGCTGCTTTTTTATAAAGGTTATAAAAAGCAAGATCAGTCGTTTTTCATAAAAGAATTTCGTTTTTCCAGATCTCTAAGGAATCCACAGATACACATTCCAATGTTAACACCCTTTTTGGGACGATCATTTCTCGTCAGAGTTGCCCGGACGTACAATGGCTTGACATTGCCTTTAAGATCATTTAATTTTTCATTATACACTTTCCGAATGAAACTTCTAGAATATTTTGTATCAAATTATTCTTAATGCTTCCTATAATTATAAAAATATGCCACCCCATTTATCAATTTATGATCAATATTTTTAAATTTTTTGAGTAGTTCCGATTCCTAAATTGTTAATATTTCCAATTAATTTAATTTTTATTCAGCAATAACATGTATACAAACTATACATATGTTAAGAGAGCTAAGTAGTTCCGACCCCTCACATTAAATCTGCATTGCCCAATTTTGAGTAGTTCCGATTCCTAAATTGTTAATATTTCCAATTAATTTAATTTTTATTCAGCAATAACATGTATACAAACTATAAATATGTTAAGAGAGCTAAGTAGTTCCGACCCCTCACATTAAATTTGTATTGCCCAATTATTGTTAATATTTAAGAAATTTGAGTAGTTTCAATCCTCCCTTTTAAATAATATGTTTTTAATTTTATATATTTATATTATAATATTGTTTGAGCAGTTTTACACCCCTTTTTGATCAATGTTAATTAAATTTATCAGAATGAAATTTATATTTTTAATATTTTTTACCTTAATTTAAATTTATAATTCTACTAGTTTTATTTTACATAGTAATTGCCACTTTGAGTAGTTTGTCATCACCCAATAAAAATGTTTGCCCCAAAATTGCTATATTGGCCACATTCTTTCTATGTACGTTTTTTGCTCCCTTTTTGTTGCTGTTATCATTTCAATCTGAGTGCAGTTTGTTTTCTAATGGAAACAAGAAGAAGAATTAAATCACCCCAGAGAAAAACACAATCGCACGACGAAAAAATAATTAATTTCTAATTTTATTTTAATATTCCTTACTAAGTAAAATATTGTGGCGATTTACAACGTCGGTGCTACGAAATCTAGTTTAAGAGAAATACTAAATGCTAATTAAATAAGAGAAAGTGTTTAGAATTGCGAATTTACCAAAAAAAGTTTTTTATGTGGTGGTGCTCGTCGTCTTTTTGTCTTCAAATACCAAACAATCAAAGACATCATTGTCGTTGCATGTGGTGGTCTTGCAAACGCGACCGGGAACAGATTGAGGAAAGACATTGTCGACAGTGACAGCATAAGGCTGAGTCTAGTTTTCCAGTTAACAAGGCAAAAGAAAAACAAAAAAGAAAGCAAAGAGAAACAAAGATGGAATATTCTCAAGACCCCTATGAACTGAAATTGTATCAAATGTTTAACAGTTGTGATGGCCAACAGTGTGGCTATCTAGATGAACAGTCCCTAAGGAGACTCTGTGGTCTCCTGGAATTGAGAGACAAAGGAAAAGTGCTTATCGAAAATTTGGCAGCCGAGGGCCGTACCTCACACGTTACCTTTGAGAATTTCAAAGAAGCGTTGCTTAACTTCTTGGGCACAGAGTTGGATGGCGGTGGCAGTGGCAGTGGAGGCGGGAGCAGTTCAACAGCGAACGAGCAAAGTAAGTCAACAGAAAAGGGTGTCGTCGAAGACAACGATGGAAATGTCGTGGGTAAGTCGGAGAGTAATGTGAGCGACTCCTTGTTCTGATTTTCATAAAATCGCTGTCAGACTTTCACCGTAAAGGTATTACGTCAAATCGATACTCACTATCAGACAATCAAGATAAACCGTCTTTTGTTCGTATATACCCTCATATGGCTCGTACTTTAATAATTAGAACAATTAACAAATTTGCTAAAGGTGTTTTCCTTATCACCATATCGAACACCTAAGATAGATAGGTGATTGTTGGATATATTACATACATACACTTTTGGGGGATATTGGATTGCCATTTTCTATAAATAGCATTAATTAGTCTGTCTTACACAATGCTAGTAATCGATTGACATTTGCTTAGCTTTTAACATACCCATCGGAATTAATAGTATGTATGTGTGGGTTGTATTGCTTTTGGCTAAAAGAAATATGCGATAATTAATAACTACTGCAACATGATACATGTATGTATGACATGCAACGTTGTGAACTTATAAATTTAACCCATACATGGAATTGAAAATAACAGCACTGGATAAAGATGAGAAAATGGTGTGAAACCTTCATTAAACCATATTTGTTAACAAACGAACAAGGAACTGTTTGTAATATATCGTATTCAATATAGCCAATACGATATAAGGGTATTAATTGTAATACCCTTACAACCGACTTAAGTATTTAGGTTCGGTAATGATCGGTATGAGAAAAGGGTTTGGCATTCGTTGGGTGTTTTGATGATGATCAGGAAAGGGAACCTAGACTTTAGAAGAGGATAGCTTAAATATGTGCAATATTGCCTATTTTTTATTTTCCATTTTCAAATAATCGTTTTTTTTTGTACTACTTCAATGATCTTTGGTACACATATAAGAAAATTGTCCTGACTGCGAATCCGATAGCGATCAAAAACATATCGAGGATTTAATTTTGGGAAAAACAACTTAATATTATGCCGCTTATTTTTAGATTAAGTGCACCAGTAGTCGGCACTTTTAAACGTCGGATTTTCTCATTTTAAACGTTTCACCAACCCGAGTGCATTTTTCCACTATATTGTTTTTAGGTACATCTGTTTCGAGATTTTGTTTACTCCCCGATGCAATAAACGTTTGTTGAATTAATTTGTATTAAAGTTTAGTAAATTGATAATTAGGTAAAATATTGCCTTTTTGCCAATAGTCTGCACTTTTTTCCAATTGCCGTCATGTCATGTTTACTAAGTCGCATTTTAGTTAAACAAAAATTATATATTTAATAGATTTTTCTGATATTTTTATTAATAAATTATTATTACCAGACATTTCCATTAGTGTTGTATTGAACAAGTTATATAAAATAATTTTATTTATTAAAATATTACAATTATAAAACATGGTGCCGACTTTGGGAACCTGTTATCCAATTCTCGGCATGGCTAAATTACGTATTTCAGAGGTTAAAAGAATTTAAGATTAAAACCATGTCTTCCATTATGTAGAAAAGGTGCTTCTACTCAACTCGTGTTAACATTAACTGATTTTAAGTTTTTCGACTTGGAGTGGATTTTCAAAAAATACGTACTGCACGTGAACTACTCGAAATATTTATCGATTAATGTTGTTGTTATTGTTGACCTGTGATATGTTAATTCTTGTGGATTTTTGTTTGGCTCTAGGTCAATTGAAAAACTCGATGGTTATGGTTTTTAGTTTTGGTTTATTTTTATTTTCCAATATTTCGACTTCTTCGGAAGTTATCTTCAGGGAAATACGTTATGAGAGAAGCAACCGATTTTTATAACCGTTTAGCATAGACAAAAAATAATAATACAAATAATAATATTGATTTTCACTCATCAGCAATGTTTTACCGCTTAATAAGATCTACAAATTTAGCTTGGATGGTACAATCGCATACAGCAATTTATCTCTAAAATTAACCGTGCTTATAGAAAATTGTATGTGCTATGGTATGGTATTTAAAAAAATACAATTCTGAACATACAATTGATTCATTTTTGAGACTTTGACTTTGTGAGACTATAACCATGTGAAAAATTCATCCAATCCAAACAGGATTTTTGCTTTTCCATCGACTATCTTTCTGTCATATATTGTTGGTCGAAATAACAGCAAGTCGTTTTAAATGTTTGTATTCGTTTAGAGCAATTTCCTCCTAAATTACCCTTGTAAACACTTATTTAGATTATTTTCTTATAATTTATTTTACATGTAATACAATTTGGTTTTTTATAGCGTAAACAACGCTTGTAATACATTGTTTTCCTGATAGCCAAAAATGTAAATACAGTCTAAATTGTTTATAACGACTGTATTCAAAAGTCCTGAGTAAAGTTTTGCATTTTATTTGATATCGATTAAAACGCTTATATCGATCAAATTCTTCGTTCGCTTGACCGTCATAAACGAATTGGTAGTGTTTCATACAGAACGAAAGTAATAGGTTTTCATGACATCATTTAAACATATCTGTGAGCCACTTTTTGATAGAATATAATTCAATATTAAAATATATTACAATACATACAAAATAGTCAGGCTGAATCCCAGTTTGTTTTTATAAAAACAAGCTATTTATTTGTGGGGAAGTATGACATTGTCCACAAGGGAGAAAGGCAGCCGATTAAAGTATTCCTATAGATTTTAGTATATATTTACAAATTTTAAATTGTGTATGATTTGCAAATGATTTATTATTTGGAACGAATTTATGTTTGGTAATTAGTTTCATATGTGAGTACGTGAGATGCGAGTGATAGTAAAATCCTGTAATCTGTTATTGAGTATTAGTTTGAATTTTTATTGCGGTCATTTAAATCTTATGGCTTGATCGTAAATGAAGATTATTGCCAATAATAAATTGTAGGTAAACATATGTTCGGAAGGGACAATTGAAGTATGTGTGAATAGTTTGCCATTTGTTTTTGTCAGCAACAACTTTGGTAAGTCCTTACTACCTAGTAAGATGTTTTCGACCATTGGAAACACCTGACTTTTATAGCATGTCCTTTACTATATGACTGCTACATATTCAGGTAGACTCTTCGTCTAATCAGCTAGCTTAGCTTACACATGTGGGAAATTCTTATTCACGGAAGGTTCTAGAATGTGTAATCAGTCTACCTAGTTTGGTTCCACATTTCTCGAGTCCTTTAAATAGCCGTGCAAACTTGAATTCGACATCAGTTGTCTTTAAGACATATTGTGATAAAGACCGATCAGATTTTCAAATATTGCTTTAAAAGCGTAATCAACTAAGAAAAAATGGGTACTCATTTCTTTTATCGAAAAGCCAAAACATACGTCGATCCAACAATGGATGATTTGGCAAGATACTTACGTAAGATATGCGGTATTGTGATACGTTGAAGTTGAAACTAATTCCTCATTCCACCTTTTATTTGCAGAACGATCATTAGTTATTTCTGAACAACAACATCAATTGGATCAAGAAGAAACATTTATAGACAGTCCCCCAGAGTCTTCGGATCGAGAAGTTTCACCCAAGTTGGTGGTAGGTACCAAAAAATATGGTCGTCGTTCCAGGCCACACAACCCAAAGAGTGGAGATGCCAGTGTTTCGGATTCAGAAGATTCCACAGATGAAAAAGACTCCAACTCACATCGTGAATGTGTAACACAACAAGTTCAAAGATCCACGTCACAAACCGACATTCCTGGCACAAGACGTCGTCAAACTGTTGGTGTTACAGAAAGCAAACTAAAACGATGTGCTTCGTTGCCTGCACAAAGGAATCTATTCAACCAGAATAAGGCAAAATTACAAAACAAGGCAAAAATTGGTAACGATTCTTTAATACAGTTAGCAAAGAAACCTCTTAGCAGTAGCGTTGAATCTCTCGGTAAGTATTATTTGAAACACTTTTAGTAGGCCAAAATTGGTTTTATTTTTCGAATTCATTTTCTTTCTTAACATGTCAGTGCTTTATTTTAACCTCAGCAAACATCTTCTAAAGCTTTTGTTTTCATTATTCGTAAACTTGTCTTATTAACGAAATGGGGTCATATTTCCATTAATGGGCAACATCAACATTTATAAATGGGGAAAGCATTTTGAAGAATCTGTTCAGGCGCTTAGGTTTGAAACAGGAACAGTTTGCATTGAAACCACTTTTGATTTTCTAGTCGGCTTCTTGTACACACTCATTAAATCGTCATTGGCTTTCTTAAGCAGTGCCCTCATTACGATCTCATTCAATTCATACTTTTATTGCGCACCTTAGCCTCATTACTTCGAACAAAAGCTGTTGTTTTCAGCAGTTAGTAGTGTCTGCGTGCATCAGCTAGCAGAAACAGCCTATAACCAAACTAAAATCATTAAAATTGGCCAATTTTCACGAATTGGCTTCTTTCCTTTCTTTGTCATTGTCATAACCTATTCAATAAGTATTCTGCCTAGGCTTTTGTGATTGTATAGCTGCTGTAGCTCTGTCAGTCGTCCCTGCAATGTCGTCGCAGACATCTATGTGTCTTATTTATTCTTCAAGTAATGCTTAAAATTGTATTTGATATCTGTAATATTTGGATAGTAAACATTTTGACTTTATTCACTTTTCAAATTCACAAAACAAAATGTAAAAATATAGGTTTGAAAAATCTTTCATCTGCCATGCACGCTGTTTGGAGTTCCTATGAATGGGAGTTAAGCAAAGCTCATTTAAATGCCGGACAATTGACTAAAGGTTTGTTTTGAATTGACTTAATGGCAATAAGATAAATGAAAAAAAAATAAAAATAAAAAACAAAATATCCAAATACAGAACAAACATTAAAAACGGCTGGTGGTATAAACTACACGCTCTTTTTAGAGTGGTCTAATCAAATAGCTGTAGTAATACATATGTAAAACATCCTATGAGAAGCACCTTGTATTTAGTGTTTTTTGTAGAATCAGTTCTAGCACACCCTATATCTATCTTTCTAACTTCCACTTTTCTTTCTACACCCTTAACGAAATCATTTTTTAGTTTGTCTTTATTTTTCCTTTTGATTTTTTTTTAATTCACATAAGGTAAAATATTGAATATAATAAATATGGAACTGATTTTCATGTAGATTTTATATTGCAATCCTCTATTCCGTATTAAAGGTTCGGGTTTTATATATTAAAAACGTGGCATTAATAATTTTAAAAGACTTAACTAACCCAAAATTCAATATTATTTACCAGATACTCCCGGTTTAATGGAAACCCTACCCGTCAATACCATTTTGGATTTGTGGGAACGATCAAACATACCCAATGGTCGTGGAATTCTGTTGGCATTGGGTTTTGATAGCGATGAAATAAATTTGGCCCAATTGAACAAGGTAATGGAAGAAGAAATACCAAATTTGGATGAAGAGCCTCAACAGGCATTGATGAAGGCCTGCTTGGCATTGCAATCAGTGGAGTTGGCGAATTTAAGGCAAACTTCTAAACAGCTACACGATGAGAATTCTAAGCTTAGATCGGATAATAAGGATGCCAACAGACGCATTGCTTTATTGGCAGTAGAAATCGACGAGAGGCATGCTTCGCTTGAAGATGCTACCAAAAAAGAAGTAAGTATTTTCGATAAAGAAATCATTTGTCTTAAATCGTTAGTTTTTTCTTATGGATTTGTTATACTAATCGGTTAATCTCTTCTTACTTTTTGCACAGATTCGTCTCTTGGAACAAAAACATGCCGGGGTTGTTAGAGATTTAACGGCTCGTTTGGCTAGTGACCGGGAAAACTGGTGTAATCTCAATTCACGTTTGGAAGCACGCATTAAAACCTTTGAACAAGATGAAATAAAATTAAAAACCGAATTGGAATTAGTACGAAAAGAGAACGAAGACTTGGAGTCTGAGCAGCATAAAATGCAAAAACAAATCACCGAATTGCTGGAAAAAAATATTGAACTCCAACGTGAGCTAACCGATATGGATGAGAAGAAACACGACGGCCAATATCGCGAGTCACACGACAAGAGTGTGGCGGATGATGAAGTTTTAACTTTGGTAGAAAAAATTTCCAAACTACAGTTAGAAAACTGTAATTTGCGGGATAAAAATGACGAACTTATGGCTGAAGTTGAATCATTACATCATGAAATGAATAAGATGAAAATAAAGAGTAAAAAGGCAATGGCTTCTCCAGAAGAGGCCACTGCGTCCAATCAAGAAGAAAGCGACACTAATTCTGGAAGTACTGCTACCAAACGTCGTGGCGATTCACCAACAAAAACAAGGCTCATTGAAGAAAGCCCACGTCTAGGAAAATTAAGAAAATGCGCCAATGATGAAACACACACTTGCAGTGAAAATAGTGACACCAGTGGTGAATGGATGGCTTTAAATTCGGAATTGCAAAATTCACAGCAAACAAAAACATTGAAGCAGGCCCAAGAAGAAATTGAAAGCCTACGTAAACGTATTAAAGATTTGGAAGAGGAATTGAAGGTGGCCAAAGAAGCAGCACCACAAAAGGTGGTTATTGCAGATGGTACGGAGTCATGTTCACCCACTCCTGAAGAACGTTGCCGTGAATTGGAGGCTAGTTTGGAACAAATGCAAAAGGCCTATGAGGATTGTGAAGATTACTGGCAAGCAAAATTGACCGAAGAAAGGGCCCTATTTGAAAAAGAGCGACAAATTTATGAAGAGGAGCAACAGGAAAGCGATAAAAAATTCACTGAGCTTATGGAAAAAGTACGTGAATATGAGGAACAATTCAGCAAGGACGGTCGCCTTTCGCCCATCGAAGAAAAGGATATGCTGGAACAGCAATATGCTGACTTGGAAGCCGAAGCTGAGGAAATTCGAGAGAATGCTCGAAAAATGTTTGAAGAAAAATCTCAAGAAATTGAAATGTTGCAAAATGAAATCGAAGATCTTCGTTTGCGTCTGGGAGAAAGTGTTGAAATTTTGACTGGGGCCTATGAACTAAAACCAGAAAATGCTGCCAGTAATGCCATGAATTTGGCCGAATCATGCAGCCCCGCCAGCTCCCCTATTAGCTATCTGTGGCACCAAAGCACCATACAGGAACCCTCGAAAAATTGTCAACAGTCTGTGGATAATAATTTACCTACCCTTATGCCGGTAGCGCCGTTGAGCAATAACGCAGTACGGTGAGTACTTAATTTGAATCCCTTCGCCTACATCAAAGTACTATAACTTGCATAAATGCTTTTTTGGAAAGCAAAGGCAATTTCATTTCCACTTTAATTTAATTTTAATTTAAATATTTTTTAAACCCCACTCATTTTTTAGCTGCTCATTTCCTTTGATATCCCATAACATGCAAGTGCAATTTCCAAAACGTTTCCTTAATCGGCTTATCGGAAATATTTAATATCTAACCCTATCCCCATGACACAATCCACCCGCGCGTCCTTACCACATAACAACACCCCACAATAGTATTAACCCGATCCATAACACTTTTAATTCCATAAACCTGCCTTATGTAAATATTCTAAATAAATGAACTTTAAGTTCAGTAAGGGATCTCATAGAGAAAGAAAATTGGCAACTAAAATCTAAGTAATGCATTTATAATTTAATTTTATTTTAAGCTTATTTTAAAATTGACAACTACTAATAGGTGTTATTTTATATTTATTAATAAAAATTGTATATATCTATTGAATGTGCTGACATATATTGATATTTTTTTGTTTTATTTTTATTATTGTTTGGAAAGTACCGTTCGTTCGTTTGTTGTTTGCATGATTGTGTTTGTGAATCGTCGTTCTATTTCTTGGGTATTACATTTGGTGAAATGGTGGTACAGATGCATCATATAAGATTGTCATTTGAGACTATTATGTGTAGTGTACAGATCAACGAGACAGCGATTCTAAAATATTAACAAGTTGGAAAATTTAAATATATAGGTCAACCATGATCGGAATATATAATATTATTATATGGTGCTGGTATTTTTAAATATAATTCGATTTTTATTGGGCAATTTCTGGTTTGGTAAATTTGATGGATTATTTATGAAACACTTAGAATAAATATAAGAAATAAAATGACTTCAATGTTTAATAAGTACGAAGAGTACACGTTAACACCCAGTTTGTAATATTTGTGCGCGCGTTCTTTTCTCTATAAGTGTGCCTAAATAAATATATCATATGGATATATAATTAGAGATTCATATTAAACTTGATTTAACGGTGTCACTCGATTTGATGTATTTTAAGAATAGAAAGTCACGTACTAATCTGTTCCATAAATAAGTTCATATTGAAATTTTAGAAACTTTTTCATACTCAAAAATAATAAAGTCCACGTGTGTCGACATTATGATATAGTTGGTTACGGGAACCCAACATATATGATAAAATAGACAAATTCTTGTACATACACAAAGAACTCATCTGCTACTCAAGAAATAACACACGAAACTAACAAACAATTGTTGTGTTGTCTGCATTTTTCTTTTGGTTTATTTTTAGTCTAAATTTAACAACTTCGGAAACTACAATTTTCAGCACACCGCCACAAACATCGTTGCAGTCGCCGATAGAGAAACCCAGTCAGTCACAATCGCAAAATACTGCACCTTCCGAAGCGGGAGATGTTGCCGATTGTGAAACCTCCTCGACAGCATCCGGTAAAAGTTTCGAAACGCACAGTATACATTCGAATCACAGCCTACAACAGCGTAATATACAAATGGCTAACAAATCCAATGCCAGCATAAAGAATAGTTCAACTAGTCCAACACCGAGTGTTATGAAAGAAGAGCTAAAGCGTTTGAAATTCTTTGAACTTTCACTAAAGGAACAGATAAAGGATTTATCTTTGCAAAGGGATGGTTTGATAATGGAACTTCAGCAATTGCAAGAAGCTAAACCAGTGTTAGAAAAGGCATATGCGGTAAGTTTTAACTGTGTCCACTAGACGCTTATTCATTATTTTCCCCCGGGGTTTTGTCTATAAAAGTTGTTTTGTTCGTATACTTGTCTCAAATAGAATTTCTTGTCGATTATTCGAAATTAATTGCATATTGTTTTTTTTTTCTCTTAACAATGTTCCAAGTATCATGCAACACTCTCAGTCAGAAACATGTTTACAAACTCGTCCTTAACCCTTTGACGTATCAATTAGCGCAACGAAGTTCGCTTCCAACTGTTAGCACACAACTTGCACTAAGTAAACCGGGTTTGATGCAAAATTGATAATTAGACAACTGATTTGCATTAGACTTTGTACTCAACTGCAACAATTTTTTTGTTCACATTATTAGCTGAAAATAACGGGAAAATTGCACTCTTTTCATCAAATGTACACTTCTACACACCACGAGTTAAACTCGTGATAATCAATTTAGGCACAGAAATTGTACCACGAGTCAGACTCGTGGAAATACGTCAAAGGGTTAAAGCATCTAAAATCGATAAAATGTTGTGAATGTAGGAAATATTATATAAAATTAGAATATAAATAATATTCTATACCAGTCAGACGTTGGAATTGATCACAGACTGATATAAATTTTACATTTTATTATAAGAACAGTTGTTATTGAATATATCGAAATCAAAAAATTGTATACAAATTCGATGTATTGATCATTGCAAATATTTGTCTTTTATATAGAGAACGGCACATCCATCATTAATTCAAAGAGTTAATCAATTGGAATTGAAAAATCGTCATTTACAAAATGTCATCAAACAACAACAGCAGTACACAGAGTCCATAATGCAACGTAAGTTGAAGAAACGTAGGGAAATAGTCAAACAGTAATTGTATTTTTTCTTTTATTAATTTTTATAGAATCTTGGCGCAATCACCAGATAGAATTGAATGAATTGCATGGTCGTTTAGAAGCTCAGGGTGCGTTGATTGTTGAACAGGTGCAACGTTTACAAAAGGCCGATATATTGGTCAAAGATTTGTATGTGGAAAATTCCCATTTGACAGCATCGGTGCAGAGGCTAGAGCAGCAGAGGGTACGTGCTAGTATGCTCCAACAGCAGCCCCAACAAAGACCAAATTGTTCAGTACTACCAGGAATGCCTTAAATTGTTAAAATATGATATACTACACGCAAAGATATTTGAAGGATATAAGTTAAAGGTAAGAACTCCCCCAGCATAACCCCGAAAATGCAAAGGATGTTCTTGGAAATTGACGATTGTCATTAGGAAATGTATATGTTGTTATTGTAAGTCGACATTAAGCATCCGTATTTGCTTTAAAGCGTGTCTGCGTCACAATTATACGCAATATTACCGAACGGCCACCACTCGGAACAGTTTAAGACTTTTTTATTTATGCCATTAATAAGAACCAAAATTATTCCAATAGTTTTCCCAATCTCTAAAAATCTATCGCCACAAATGAAACTAGAAAGGTCATAGCACTGCAGTTGTAGCCACAATGCCTTCCAATAAACTGCAACTACTACTAATATATACTAATTCTAACAAACACTAAATATTTAACTAATTTTAAACCTAATATTTTCGGTTACAACGAAATAGAAAAAAGACATTTAATAATCCAATGTACAATGCCAGAAACAAACGAAATCTCTTTGAAATCCCAAAAAGAAATAAACATTAAGAAGATATTTAGTTATGTTGTTAAAATGCGCACAAGACACTAAAAATATGAATCGTAGAACAAATTTTATTTGGCGCAGTATTTTGTTTAGACAAAGCCCATAGTTTTAAAAAATATGTTTATTCGTAAATAGTGAAATTTGTGTGTTAAGCTTGCAAAATACTTGATTGTATTTCTTTTTCGTTTCTTTATGAAATTGTTGATCGAAGTAATATACTGCTTTTGCTCATTGCCTTTTTTATAATATTTATTTGAAAAGTACATCACGTTGTGTATATTATCCCTAGACAAATTAAAAATAGTAATATCATCATTTTCTTTACAAAAAGTAATACTCAAATTTTTTGTGGATCATCGGTTTTTAGAGCCGCCATGTAATACACTCCAAATATTTGGTTATGGCTTTTAAATTCTTTCTCTGACATTCTCTGGCCGAGTAGAACTCGACTTGTTGCAAAAATATAATCTAATAATAAAAAAATTTACCTAATTTTATTGGCAAATTATTACAATTATTTGAACAAATGAAGCCATAAATAAACCAAACAAACCAGTAACAATTCTTAAACTCAAGTGATCATAACCATATTCTAAAGTGTAGATTACATTATAATTTAATTCCCCCAAAAATAAATTACATATACACATTTCGTTAAATAATTCCAATTATATTCAAAATACAGTATTATGATGATATTATTCGAATTCTTATCCATTTTTGAATCTATCTTTAATTCTTACAAAAACAACATTATTTAATAACTTTTAACTATTATTTCAGTCCAATTGTTTTATTTTTAATTGCATTTTGGCAATTATTATGAGAATTTTTTAGAAGCTCTCCTGAATGTAGTCTAATTGAAAACATTAAAAAGAAATTCGATTTTTATCGATGTTCAAATAATTGGTGATTGTTTAAATATATATAGATTTTTTTATTTTTTACTCATTGGATCTTGTACATATCCTAATTATAACAAAAAAAAAGTATTAATATATTTATCTTTATGTTGTAAATGTTTGCTCCACACCTTACCTCCTCCCTCTATTACAAAATTGTAAGTAATAACAAAACTAAATTATTTTTAATTTTAATATTTTTATTGGATACCCAACCCTGTAAAATTTTTACTTTTAAGTTAATTATTTTATTGTTACTCAATAAAAATAAGGAGACAAAAATTTTAATTAATTGAATGTTGACTTACATTTTAGAAAGAAATAAACTGAAAAAAACGAAATATAGACGACTAAACTTATTGCAAATTAATTTTTAAATACAAATTCCACAACACAAATATGACATTAAAACGAAACGTTTATTGTAATAGTTATAGTTTATTCAAAAAAATGAAATGAATAATGAAGAGAGTTACAATTAAAAATTATTTCAATTTAATCATCTCTGTGGTCTTCTTGTTGTTCTCCATATACTACCGGTAAGTTAATCAACATGCTAAAGAGGCGACTCCTTTACAAAATGATGTAGAATGTAATGAAAAGAAAAAAATGTCATAACGAAATTCAACAAGCATGTACATGATTATGTTCCTTACAAAAGGGATCCGGATGTCGATCGTTTATTGCTACAATTGCCGTTGGCATTTCTCGATTGATGAGAACGACAACGTCTTGCCTGTAGTTTCTTCGATGATGGCGATAATGGCTGATGGGATCTGCGAATTTTTAATTTATATATTTTTGAATTTCTTAGGGGCATAGCATCATCCCTGAATTTTGCAAACTCTTCATTGGCAAATATTGGCTCTATTTTACTACGAGGCTTCACATCAATGGAAGGCAGTACAGTTGTTTCACCTGTTGAATATCCAGGCGACTTTAATGTGGTTACTAAATCGTCCACTGTTGGTTTTCTAGAAATCATTGATGTTAAAGTATTCCATAAAATATTGGAACTTAAAGTGGTCTCAGATTCTTGCTGTTGATTAAGTGTAGTATAAGTGTGTGCTTCCATGGTTATCGGACTAGAGTTTCGTATTTCTCCATCAATATTTGGCGCAGTAACAATTATCCCATTGTTAGTAGAGGCTGCCACCGTCGGTTTTATTGTTGAAGTTGTTGTTGGAGGATTAAGAGTTATTGGTTTAACAGTCAAATCATTTTCATCATAATAATAATCTTCATCGTTATAACTTGTCTGTAAATAAATACATGAAGGATCAGAGTTTAAAAACAATGTTTTTTAATAAATCCGAAAACTTTGATTACGAATTGTTCTATTCAATACAATAAATACATAAATATATGTAGTTTGAAGAAAGAAACATACATCTTGAAACTCATTTTGACCCATTTCAATAATGGCCACATCTTTTATCACTACATGGATATTATATTTTCCGCTTTGGCGTTGATCGTAGACAATACGCCCAGTTTCTTCATGTGGTCCATCTTCATCGGGGCTCATTTTGACGCAAGGCAAATGTGTTACTGCCACAAACAACAACAATACCACTGCAACATTTTCAACCAGTTTTATTGATGATTGCATTCCTTTCGTGTTATAAATTGCCGTCCTAAAACAGGTGCAAGTTTCGCTCTCAACAACAAAAATAAGACTGAACGAATGTTCAACCTCGAGTGTCCATGAAAGGGCATATTCTTGAGGATTCTGGATGAATGACGTTGATGTTGAAATGCAATACCGGCTTTAGGCTAACTCTAATATAGTAAACACCAACACTTTTTTTAGATGGTCAATGAATTTTATAATCTTGCATTCTTACCACCTTTCTGCTACTTGTTGAGTATATGTTGTTAGTATGTGCACTGTTTCCTTGTGTTTTATAGTAGTACGATGTAGAGTGATTTGTGTGAAGAGCAAATATAAATGTATGTAGGGAATAGAAATCAATGTTTGCTGTCGTTTAACACAGGGATGGTGTTTGTATTTTGTATTATCAAGTTTAAATAATTCATGATTATGGCGTGGATCTAGAACTCTCCCAGAATAGTTTATCTGCCTTAAAACGGAGGAAACATATTTATCTAGAAAACGAAATTATAAGATGTTGGTATTTATGGCAACACTACACTTATTTTAACTAAAAATTAAAATATATATTTATTTTTTTATATGGTCCAGGGACCAACGAAATTGGTCGCTGTAAGCAATATCAAATAAAGGGCAGAACTTTTTTGGGACTTCTTGTTCTAGTGTATTGGAAGTCAAGCTGATTATTGAGCTTAGGTAATGATTATAGCGAGTCTATTGTGTCATTAGTTGGGTATCTTTGGGAAATTTAAGGCCTGAAGTGTGTGTTGCGAATCTTGTCTATCATATCTGAATATTGTACAAAACACATTGATTTTGAAATTTTAGATTTTTGTAATAGTAGAGCGCCGGAGAGGCGGACATGTATATTATTAGTCTTGAACAAGGCCTGAATTGTTAAACAACCATAACGTTTTTTGTATCGAAATTACATTCCAACTTTAACGTTCAATATTTAGAACTCTTCCGGTTTTGTATGCATGTTTTATTCTGTCCATCATATGGAAATATTCGTTTGAGACCCAATAAATGTATGTGCTCTCTTCCAGAACTAGCGTGAGTTTTCAATTAATTGAAATTGTTTTATTAACATAAAATGTTTTTACCACTTTTGAGTACGTGAACAGACCAGTTCTGGATCAGAATACGTCGATTTCATCATATCTGACTGGTGATAGAAATATTTAAAGTGGTATATGTCGTTCCAAGATTTGATATATCCCACTAATAACGATGTCGCTCAACTACTATATTTTAAAAGTTTTAAACGCATTTCCCAATTTATTTTAGGTAACTGTATATATCAAATAAACAATAAAAACACATATCATTTTTGAACGAACCTCGTAGCGTAATTTTGGAATGGCAAATCGATAACAGTTATCGGAATTGTGCCAGCTATTGAAATTCTGCTGTCAGCTGATTGTCAGAAGCTATTTTGACAGAAATTGTTAAATGGAAAGGGGTCGGATGGTGGTGGTTGTTTTTTATTGTTCACCCAGCAATAATTTTTCGTCTGTGTTCTATCACTGAGCTATATCCCCAATTCAAAGAATAAATTCGTTTCGTCATTGTTTGGCTGAAAAAATTGATAAGTGGCTATATTGAGAGTAGACAAAAATGCTATTCAATACAGGCACAAATTGAAGAAAATTGTTTGTTCTTATGGTAAATTGTTGTTGCGTACTTAGAATTTGCAAAGCTTGTAAAATTTAGCCATCAAAATGAATAATTGGCAAATGAAGTGTTTTATTTTGATGACAACATATGTGTTGGCGACATGGGCTATGGACTCCGTAGTAACAACGGACATACCACCATCATCGGGAGCGGGTGCTGCTGGCCATGATGCTACTCAGGGAGATACTCCGGTTAATACACGAAATGTTGGTGAAGGTGATTTGACAGTCCTGTGTCCCAATATGGTACGTTATGTCTTTGAGAGTGCCATGCCACACGATGAATCGAAGTCGGGCATTTTTGAGAAATATCCTTCATCCACTGATGATATAAATGCTGGGGGCGAAGTAGATTTGCGTACATGTGTCGAGGCTTGTTGTGAAAAAGGTAGAAACAATACTTGCAATGTGGTTTTTATGTTTAAGCGCAAATGCTACCATGTGCGGTGTGTCAGCAACGAAGCCTGTTTGCCCAAGGAACGTAGATCTTCAGCCGGACGCATACAAATGGTCTTGGTCAATCCTGTAAGGGCCGATGGCGAGAAAGAAAAATTCTCATGGTTGGATTCCTTGAAGGCATCGAAAGCCTTAAACGAAATACTACCCTTTGAAGAGAGTGACGGAAATGAAAATATAAATTCACTTAATTTCTGGAAACAACCTCACAAATTACCATACTACTCGCGGAGTGGCGAAACTGTTATACCCAACAATTACGACGAAGATGATTTCCCTTTGGCCGAAAAGAGAGTAAAGCAATTGTTAATGTCCTCACCTTTGGATGAAAGTGAGGGTATATTACCGGAGGATTTGGCCTATTATCGAGCAAACTTATCACCTGAGTCAGCAGCTTTGACAAAATTCTTAACCTGTAATCTGGATGGGAGCCCTGAATCTGGTGGCAGCAGATGTCCCCCAAACGAAGAATGTATTTCGGTTGATTCAACAACAGGCATTTGTAAATGTGTTCGAGGTTTTATACGCAATCACCTGCGTGTATGTGTACCAGATTCTATAGATTATAATTTGCTGGATGAATCGGGAGGAGCGCACAATATAATGATGGCTTCGGCATCTTCAAATGAGGCCACGACAGTACAGAAACCGGAATCTGAGCCAACACCCAAGACAGACGCTAATAAAAAATTAATGGTTTCGGTTGTGTCGAAAGAAGTTCGTTTGCCCGAAAAGGAAGTTACATTAGCTGCATTTACTGTGCCCGACGAAGAGTCAAGCAGTACGAAATACAAATATCTTTGGACACTAATTAACCAACCCAAAAGCCCAATGAATGGCACTATATCTGACCAAAGTCAATCAAAGGTGAAGTTATCGAATCTTTCCGAAGGCTTGTATACCTTTAAGGTAACTGTGACGGGTGACAATGGTACGTATGGCGAAGCCATGGCTAATGTAACGGTCTTGCCCGAGAAACGCATCAATCGTGTTCCTCAAGTCATTATTACTCCCAGTGAACAGACTATTAGACAACCCACGACTAACGCAATTTTAGATGGCAGTACAAGTACCGACGATGATAGGATTGTTTTATGGCATTGGGAAGTAGTCTCTGGCCCCATAGGATATCAACCTAAATTACCCGAAGTTAATACACTGCAGTTGACTGATTTGACCTCACCCGGAAATTACACATTCAAATTAACTGTTACCGATACGGATAATGTTACCAACTCTACAACAGCAAATATAACGGTATTGAAAGGAACTGACTATCCTCCGGTAGCAAATGCTGGCGATGCAGTTATACTGTATTTGCCCAACAACAATGTTACACTGAATGGAACAGCCAGTTCCGATGATCATGAAATTGTAGCCTGGGAATGGACCAAAGATGCTAGTGATGAAGCCAAAGCGGTAGACATGCAAAATACCAGAACTCCTTATGTACAGTTGTCCAACTTGGAAGAGGGCATGTATACGTTTGTGTTGAAAGTTACAGATGGAAGCGGACAATCGAGTACGGCAAAAGTGCATGTTTTTGTAAAGCCTCCAACTAATTCACCACCTGTGGCTGTAGCTGGTGTCAACATGGTAATTATTCACTAAATTCACAATGATTTGTTAATACAACTGAAAACATATTTTCAATAGACAATAAACCTGCCAACCAATTGGGTAACGTTGAATGGATCTGCATCGACAGATGACATCGGCATAAAATCATATGAATGGAAGGAAATTTCTGGACCTAATTCAGCCTCAATTTTGAAATCAAATGAGACGGTATGTGATGGTATTCAAACTTGTACATTATTTTTAACATCTGTTTCTTAAGGTGGCAAATGCAACTGGTTTGACCCTCGGTATATACGAATTCCAATTGTCAGTAATGGACGAAAGTAATAATACGGCTACAGACAGTATTTGGGTAAAAGTGGTTCAAGAGAAAAATTCACCACCTGTGGCCAATGCTGGAGGAGACCAAAGTATTACTCTACCAGTGTCGGCCATATATTTCAATGGATCTTTGTCATCGGATGACTTGGGGGTGGTAAAATATCAGTGGACTCGAGAAGATGCCAGTTTGGCGGCTGGACAAATTGTGGGAACTACCGATAGTAGTCCAGTCATGATTGTAAGTATACACAAATAGGTCAATCTCTATCAACTCATTTATGAATATGTTTTTGTAGCTCACTAATCTTGTTTCGGGCCGATATGTTTTCAAATTGACTGTCAGTGATGAACAAGGTTTGACCAGTTCAGATACGGCTAGTGTTTTTGTTCACCCAGATCCAATGCTTTTGAATTTAATCCAACTTACATTGCCAATGAATATTTCAATGCTGACACATTCCTCTTTGAATACGATTGTGCAAAAAATTGGTCTTCTAATGGGTGATATGAAAGTGCAAGTTCGTGATTTGCAACATGATTCTAGGACAAATGCAGCCATTTTGGTATTCTATGTGGAGGTAGGACCCAAATACAAGTTATTTTGCGTGTAAATGATAATTTTTGTTTATATTTCTTTGTAGACTGAAAAGGCTGGCAAAGCCACACCTGTCGATGGCCTGACCATAGAACGCCTATTAAAAGAAAAACTGCAACGTGATGCCTCTATATTGGGTACAGTGTTTGCTGATGTTCGGACCGTGGTTTGTCAAAATCCATGTTCCGGTCATGGTGTTTGTAATTCAGATACCCGTGCCTGCTTTTGTGAAGCCTTTTGGATGCCTTCATTTGGTTATTTCTGGGGAATTGAGGAAGCCAATTGCGGTATGGATTAAGTTGTTGAATTTCATTTACAAATGTTTTCAATTGTATTTTTTTATTTTATAGATTGGTCTGTACTTTATGTATTTGTGGGTGTTATTGTCACATTATTGATGCTTTCGGCTTTATTTTGGGGCATTGCCATAGCTTGTCGTCAAACTAAAAAGCCTCGTTCAAGACCAAAAGTTCAAAAATATTCTCTTATTGGTACACAAGATGAAGAAGCACCTAATTGTAAGTATATATTTATGATGTAATGCACTACAACAGCACTTCAACTGTTTATATAAACTGAGAGGGTTATTGTTAAATTATTACGTGCATAAGGGCAATTAATGAAATATGTATTGTATGAAATCTATTTGTTCCTCCTTAATTCCTATTGGATTCGTTTAAATATTTGATTCCTTAATTCTTTGTAGATTCTCGTACATCCCTTACGGATTCAGATACGGACTCTGATGTTCTATTCGAATCACGCTCTAAATCGAATGGAATTTTACGTTTAAATGGTGTATCTAAAAACAAACATAATGGTCATGATCGCAGCAAATACCCAGGGAAATATGGACGGAAAGTGAAGACGTAAATATAACAAAAATAAGAAGAACGAGAAGAAGTAAGCTAAGCAAACAATACAAATTTATTTTAATTGTGTTTATGTGATAGTTTTCTTAAATAATGCTTTTCTTTAAGGGAACGTATGTATATTGTCCGAATATAATGATCTGTATGTTCCTTGTCTTAAACTTATATATTTGTATGTTCCTTTTGTGTTCACATTTTTACGTAATCCTGAACATTTTTGTTATTTACGCACATCTTTATTTTAAGTATTATGTATTGCATATAACGTATATACGTATGTATTATTAAACAGTATATCACCATTATATACCTACGCGTCATTCGTTTTTACCTAATTGGCACTGACTAGTCGATCATTTAAAGCCGATTTGAATGTTGCCATTTTTAATTGTCCCTAGAAAAGCTACTTTCTTATGTTGATACAATTCCATGGTTAAGTTCTTTTAGAATGAACATTCGAAACGTTCAGCTTTGCATAGTATGTGTATTTATGGAGAAGTATGTATGTAAGGCGTATGTATCCAATCATTAAATAGTGCAATTTGCATACAATTTCGTTGCGATTTATATGCAATTATTTTATTACCAATTATTTATTTTATTTTTTTATATTGTAAGTCTGACAAATATTGCCCATGACCAAAAAATATATATTTCCATTTTTGTTCCCAGATTCACTGTCATTCTTTAGAGTTGAATTATTGTATTTTGTGATGTACTTTTTCCCTCGGGAATTCCCAGCCATATTTAACCACAAGCTACTATAAACCATACTAGTCAATGAATACATAGTGTTTCAAAAATACAAACAGAAGAAGATAAAAATAATTGTTGTATTTTTGAAATATATCATTACATAAATAATACAAATGATTAATTTGGAGTTACGTTGATGTGAAACATGAAGATTAAAATATAAATTATGAGAATAGAAGCAAAGCGGGGAATTCCCTAAGCATTATATTGTATATTCCTATATATTTTAAAAACAATATAATAATCGTGAACAACAATATTGTATGTATGTACCTTCTAAATATAATTAAGTATTCCACATATATATTTATTTTTTTTAACTCATACCACCCATATAAACTACTCTTATTTTCAACTGTACTTTTGTAGTAGGCATTAAGAACTAAGAACAAATTCATGATATGTATGTATTATTATTACAATAACTGTGTAAAAACGAAGAAAAATAATAAAGTACATGCTTAATTATAACAACGATAATTTGCTTTACATTTCATTTCACTTCAATTATTTGGAAATTTACGTTTGAAATTATAATACAATCTTGTATTGGCTTTATCATACAAAGGATGTGGCAGTACGACTCTTCGAAAGTGTCCATGCTCCAATAGCAAAGCAACCAGGCCGCAAAAATAACCAAATAGCAAGGGCACAAATGAACTCCAAAATTTGTGTAAATCAATAATAGCCTCGGCTGGGGCGAGTTCTTCGTTGGGAAAATGTTCAACTGCATCCTGTAGCCACTTATTTATAAGACCCGATTCAATTAGACGTTCCAAATAATTGTCAATGTGCGGCTTTAACGGCGAATTTCTGCTCAAACCCAAAGCCACGGGCATTTTGACGACACAGTCTCGCATTATGTGCAGAACCGAATCATCGTCGTTGCTTTCGGTTGTCATTAGACGAAGATGCTGCAAAAAGTATTGATTGTCGTAGTAGGCATAACCACCTTTGACAATTTTTTCTGTCTGAAATTGATGAGAAACTCGAATTTACTTAAAAATAAATTAAATATTTAAAACAGCCCCAAATACATACAACACCTGTAATATCTGTCAAGACATCTGTATTCGTGCCCAATTCTTTAAGTATTTGATCGAAGGCATTGTCAAATAGTTTCTTATTCTCAATGGATCCTACGGATAATGTTAAACGGCTTTGCAGTAATTCTTCCAAGGTGTCAATGGTAATCCTAGGCGCAGGATTGGCTAAAATAGCCGTGAAGCTAGCCCGATAGCTGACCGTTATCAGTATACAATAGAGCCAATACCAACCGGTCAATACACGTAAAGGCCAATTCCTTGGCACTCTTGGTATCGACACGTACATCAGCATGGAATATGTTAATAGAATACAATTTGAAAAATTATCAAATAGATCTTCTCGCTTCTTCGGGACAACCATTTGATTTAAATATCGACGGAATTTCACATCGCGAAAGCGTTGAATATTCATGTGACTAATGGAATGTCTTTTTCGGAAAGGGGCAAAGAATTTATTTGCATTTAATTTCGACGATTTCTTACCCATTAGTAGGGCATGTAAAAATGAGAGGAAATAAAAAACCGTGCCCACCAAAAACAGTGACAGCATAACGCCGATCCACATACTGGAACTGAATGGTTGAATAAATGTTTTCCATGAATTATCCTGTGATGATTCGGGCGTGAGAAATGTTAAACACTCATAACTATGTGGTCGGCTGAAATCTAGGACTTCGCTGTATGCGGTAAATATATGCAAATCTCCAATTGCTATGGCTGCAGAGTGTGAGCTCTGAAAATGAAAAAATCCGTGTTTGACATTGGTGAATGTAATCAGTGTTCAACTTACTATTTGCCCTATTAAACCACTGAAGGAACCATTAGACAATCTAGTGCCCCATCGCTCCACCGCAGTATCGAAACTTTCATAGAAGTAGGGTTTAAAATTCATAACCTCTCCCAAAGATTTAATGATTTCGATTTCAAGACCTTGAAATGTTTTTCCAGATTGATTTTCGCTTTCAATTACCATCGGAATATGCTGATAGACAGCGATCGGTAAATGGTGACCTACAAAGATATTTGAGACAAATCGCGATTCTGTAAGTATCTGATGATGAGTATTTCTATGTTGCACCCACTATAATCTCATTAATTTTGTCATATTTTCAATACGCACCCCTTAGATTTGACGACGAGTTTGGAAATAGTTGTGTTTTCTTTATACTCCTTCCTTGGGACCATACCATCAAACGTTTGGTTACCACCATGCCATTGAAAATATTTGGAAATGCTATTGTCGACACGAGGAACCTAAAAACGTAGATGTAAAAGCTGTTCACATTAAAATCCACCAATCCACACTTACTTTCCATTCTCTTCCAACGGTTTAATAAATATTGACGATATCATATTTGACCAGATGTGCAGCATATCTTCAGCAACTAATCGTTCATCGTAAATAAAGACAAATTTAAGTTTTGTATTGAGGACACGATATTTTTCCAAAAACAAAAGCAATCGTTTCACCTGTCCTCCATTTAGCAGAGTAATGAAATGAATGTCACAATTGAACACCTTGATTTGTTTCAAAACCCGCACTGTCTGATAATTTGGTGCCTTCAGGTCTTCGTTATCTCGAATTTTTATATAGAAATTTGTCAGTGGTGCATGGGGGTATTGGAAGAATGTCTTGTCATAGATGGGATCATACCAGTCATCGGTTATGACAACAAAGCAGCGCTCTATGCGAGCTACTGACAATATTTGAGATAAAAGCAGACGAAGGGATTCCGTGGTAGGATCATATCGGTAGCTGCAAATAAAAATTACTACACATATTTAAAATTCGATTTGATTAATGAAAGTCCACTACTTACCTAGTTTCTATAAGACATTGTCCTATTTTAAAATTTGTCATTAGCAGATAAAACTGAATGACTATTGGAGGGACCGATATGCGAGATATCCTCATAATTGTGTGTAAAACGACAACCAGTTGAGTACTGAGAGCCTTTTTCCCACTAGTTCACATTTGTTGGTATGACTGAGCTCAGTCGTCGCTTTTGTTGTCTACTGTGACATTTTCAATTAAACTTTTCGTTGACCTATGCTGACCATAATTGTTGTTGCCTGCCTTACCTGTCGTCCTATGTTAAATTATTTTACAATCGAATGTAAAATGCATGTTAACAGAATTATTGGTTATGTTAAATTTGGTGAAGTTTTTTTTCACCTTATTTATGATACGATTTATATACAATGAGAAACAAATTGAACGGGCAAAAGTGGATCACATTTGTGTCACATTTGCTTTATTACCTGTTGGACCATTGCAGGTTAATAGAGAATTTCAAATACATTATTGTATTTATCCAATATACGAACTGATTTTTGTTATTTTTGGATGTCGTATACGGATATATAAAAACTACATCATTTTATCATATCAATGGTGAAATTTTCATGAAAATCCATCCAGTCGTTGTTGAGAAATAGGCATTTGAATTTTGGCTTGTATCAAAATATAGCTGCTACATAATTCTGTTCGCCTATTATCACAAAATGCAATCAAAGCGATATTTAACATTTTCAAAATGGTACAATTTTCTAAAATTGTTTGTTGTTGCCAGATCTCATGCAATCACATGCAGATGTTGTTTTATGTCATCCAACAATAATAGCATAATTTAAGGCGTAATATCCACAAATACATGTGATCTGGAAACAATGTTAAAAGATTATTTGGAAAATGTAAAATGTCGCTTTGATTGAATTTTGTGATAATAGGCGAACAGAATTGAGTATCAGCTATATTTAAATACAAGCCTAAATTGAAATAGCTATATCATAGCAACGACTGGATCGATTTTCATGAAAATTCCACAACCGTTAGAATTCAATGTTGTAGATTTTGTATATATCCAAAAATAACAAATTCGTATGCTCCAAAAACCTGACATACCAAATTTCTTCGGTAGGAAAACCCAACGAAACGGCAGGACATAAATATGGGGGAAATGTCCAAACACGGCCCAATATTGAAAATTTGGAAAATATGTTTTTCATTCTCCATTCGGAATGTCAATTGCCAGCTACTTTGGTGGGAAAATGAGACTAAATCCTCAATTTTCGCGTTTTAAACGTTTCACTATCCGAGAGCATTTTTTCAATATACTGTGTTTAGGTTCATTTGTTTCCAAATTTTGTTTACTCCACGATGAATTTCCAAAAATACATCCATACCCCAATCTTATATTTCCAAATTTCAGTGCTCCAGCTCTATCGGTACACCCAAATACACATTTGGTACACATTAGTATGAATTTCCAAAACTTTCTACAAAACCTTATCCTACATCCCAACAATGATCCTAACATCAACTTTTAAGATTCCAGTTCTAACGGTTCACCCAAATCCAAATTTGGTACCATTTAGTACGAATTTCCAAGCTTTCTACAAAATCAAATCCTACATCCAAACAATGATCCTAACTCCAAATTTCAGGATCCCAGCTCTATCAGTTCACCCAATATTCAAATTGTACCACAGTTAGTACCATTTAGTACCCATAAATATGAATTTCCAAAACTACATCCATACACCAATCCTACACTCCAACAGTATCATTATTTCCAAATTTCAGTGTTCCAGCTCTACCAGTTCACCCAAATCCACATTTGGTACCATTTCGTACAAATTAGTACAAATTTCCAAAATTGTCTACATATCCTAATCCTACACCTCAACAGTAACCCTGATTTCAAATTACGAATTTCCAAAACTTCCTACTTAAACCAAACATACAGCCCTACAGTGATCCTAAATCCAAGTTTCAAGATTACAACTCTATCGGTTTACCCACAATTCAAATTGTACCAAATTTAGTACATAGTAGTACCAATTTCAAAAACTTCCTACATACCCCAATCCTACACACCAACGATAACGATCAATATATATTTTGGAATTATCCTCATTTCTCAATCTTCAAATTCCACAAGGAAGGATTACAATAGAATATAGTCCAAATAAGTCGGCTAAGTTGTTAAGAAAATAATTTCTTAAAATGTTTTTTTTTTATTCACTTGGTTGTATGCATTTTTTGCCCAAATTTCAGCCCACCAAAAAATGTAAAAAATTTCATGTGGCAATGCCGTACAAATTACAAAATTTGTAGCATACTTTTAGGCGCTCGATTTTTTTGCTGGTTGGGTGTTGCCAGACGAAAATTTTTATTTTTTTTGGCGGGCAACTTGCTACTTCGTTCTGGGCGCCTGGTATTTTTGTGAAATAATATGGCAACCCCCACTAAGAGACTTTTTTAGACATCCATAAATAGAAACACATTTTTAGTTTTTTTTTTAATCTGTTTATTTGTTTTATTTCAATAAATGAAGAAGGTACATAAAGAAATAACTCAACTACATACACTATTTACTTCATAGTACTTAATACAATGGTAGTGTAGAGGAACAAATTGATAAACGATGTCAGGCTCAGCTGGATATTTTCGCGGGCTTTTAGCTCCGTAACATGTACCAGGTTTGATATTCGGAACAACATTTTTGGGCTCATATCAGGAAATAGAATTCAAAAAATTCAACATAACTTATTTGGTAGTCCTTAAAGAAAGATGGCTGCGATAAAAATACACTAAGACTGCTTATTTAATATTTAAAGAAATGTTAAAAAACGGTGATGGTTCCTTGGTTCAATGTTTAGCCGCATGAAACAAAAATATTAAAAAATCCACAATTGTATATTTAAAAAAATATTTTTTTGGGGAAATTACATTTAGAATTTAGATAAAAATATATTTTTTATAGAAATCTTTTTTCGAGTAACACTAAAATCGAGGGTTTTTAAACATTTTTGTTTTGGGGACCAGTTATGGGCGTGGATTCATTAAAAAATACCAGGGACCACAAATGTAAGTGGGTCTCAGAGCTGTCTTTCCTGACCTGTAAGGTATCATAATGAAGTAAAAAATTGCTCATTGGTAGGGAAACGGCAAATTTTATTTATTTTTATTACCAGGTCGTTAAGGACATTTAAATCGGTACATATCTATATTAATAAAAGAGTAAGGAATAGACTTTTAAGTATACAGCCATAACATTGAAGAAACGAGCTGTAAACCATTTTAGCAAAGCACGCATTTTTATAAAAAATTAATGATTTGTAAGGGTTGTTTGTTTGTATGACTATTCATCGTTAAATTATAGCCTGAACCGAATATATTTGCCAGTGAAACAATACACGAAATATATTCAAACTCTTAAAAACAGTGTTTTCCAAAAGATAATAGCTAAAAGATCACCCTTTTTACTTGTAAAAAATATGGAATGACAGTGTGTAATAAAACTTCAGAATTTCCTCTAACCATATCTGGAAACTTTATAAAAATCGGTTTAGTAGTTGCCGAGATATTTGTATTTCAATTCAACGATGGTCCGAAATACACATCCTGCTCGATTCTGATCGTCTATTACCTGAAAATGAAAAACCACACAAAAATCAGTCTTTTAGAAATGGCAAATATTGTTTTCATAATGGGGCAAAGAGCAGTTCGAGGTGCAATTTCTTGTTGCTTGATATGTAGGTGTGATTGTATGTAATTTATGCACATATGCAATGTCAAATATATTTACTTACACATACACACACCATGTTGCTGTATGAAGAAAAAAAATTCCATTTGCGCAAGATCGATTTTTGTGGTGTTTTTCATTTTTTGGTAATAGGCGCCCAGAAACGAACAGAAAGTATATTTCGGAGCATGGTAGAATTGAAATTCGAATAACTCCGGAAATACTTAACCGATTTTTATGAATTTTGCTATTATCTTTTTTGGCATCACTGTTTTTAACAGTTTACACACATCTCGTGTTTTATTTTTCGGACATACATCTTCAGTTTGGTCCATCATTTAACGATGAATCCTAACTAACTCCAAATTTCAACTCTATTGGTTCACCCAAAACTCAAATTGTACAAAATTTAGTACACATAAGTGCGACCTTAATTCGCTTTCCAAATTTCAAGTTTTTAGCTCTAAACATTCACATACTACGAAATTGTATCAACTTTAGTAAATTTTAATACTTTTCGGATACTTATAGTTCGAATGTCCAAAAACCCTTTGGTATATCTATTCTACACTTCATCAATGACCCTCAATCCAAATTTCAGAGTTCTAGCTGCACCGGTTCGCCAAATACAAATGGTACCACATTTATTACTTTTTGGTACTTTTCGTGCCGTATACCTTCATATACATTGAATTTAGTATTTGGTATAAAATACTGCTTCAATATTATTTGTAGTTTACCACATTACAACTTACTATGATTATTTGGTATGTCATGAATATGAAATGTGTATCCACGTTTAGACATAGCTACCACGAAAATGCCACCACTGACACCACAGCTATAAAAAGTCCTCTTTGTGAGTTTTGAAATTCTTACATGGATACCCCAACATAACAGCTCCCTATTGACTTGGCTTTGTGTGTTGGTATGGTAACATCAAACAGTTTGTTTATAGCAATTCGATTTTAGTACTAAATAGGCAGTTGATATTTTTTGTGGATCCCATTGAAATCTGCTTGACTTTTAATTGCCAACAATCGAATAATTCTAAACAAATGGACAGTGCTAAGGATAAAAAGACCCGAAAGAACATTTCAAATGCCAATACAAAATCTCGGCGTTTAAAGCGTACCCAGAATAATGTAAAAAATTGCGGAAGTTGTCCCGATCGCCAAATGAATATTAAACAAGCTGTTTATGCTCCCGACTCCGATTCCACAGAAGTTGAATCATCCACCGACGAAGAAGAACGCTGGAAGGATGTGGCTCGTTCTGCCGAAGTACCAGCCGATTATTATAATATTCAAAAATTGGTTAAATACATAAAGGCTGGCAATCAAACGGCCACCATTGTATCCTTGTGCTGCCTTCAGGATTATGACTTGACAACGCAAATTAATCAGTTTGCCATACAAGACATTGGTGGTTTAGATGTGTTAGTGAATATTTTGGAATGTAACGATGATAAGTGCCGCCTGGGTGCCCTAACGGTTTTGGCTGATATTTCATTGAACATTGATATACGGAAAACTATTGTAGACTTGGATGGTATTCCATTGATTATTGATATTTTGAATTCATCGCTGAATAACCTGAAGACGGTAGCAGCAGAAACTCTGGCCAATGTAGCTAAGGTGCGTTTGGCGAGAAAATATGTTCGTGTGTGCGGCGGAATACCGAAGTTGGTGGATTTATTGGATATTAAATTGCAGTAAGTTACACAAGTTAGTTTATTTTGGGTGGAGATTTTTCCCACACGAAAGTTACTCATAAAGAAGGGCTTCCTTTTATCTCATTTTTTTTCAAACATTAAATCTTAATACATTTTTTGCAAACCTACATCTTAAACATCGTTTCTTGATCGCTTTGTTTCCTTTTTAGCATTTTGCAGACACCGCGCGAAGAATTGAACTTTGAGGAGATTGAACTGCTGAATATGGCCAGGGCTGGAGCCAGAGCTCTATGGTCCTTATCCGATTCACGTCACAATAAAGAGATAATGCGCAAAAGTGGAATAGTTCCCTTAATGGCTCGTCTATTGAAATCTTGTCATATCGATGTTGTCATACCCATTATGGGCACTATTCAAAAATGTGCATCTCAGGTAAGTGATGTAATATTTCCAACAAATACAAATTATTCAATTTCCAATCGCAGCCCAAATTTCAACTGGCAATAAGAACAGAAAATATGGTAGCCGATATTGTTAACCATTTAAATTCGACCAGTTTGGATTTAAAAATGGAAGGCAGCACCGCTATCTATAAATGTGCCTTCGACCAGGCCACCCGAGATTTGGTAAAAGAAGCCGGAGGCTTGGAACCGTTGGTGGCCATAATTAAGGATAAAACCATACGGGAAAATAAACCACTATTGATCGGAGCAACGGGTGCTATTTGGATGTGTGCCGTATCCGATGCAAATGTTTTGAAATTCGATCAATTGCGTACGGTCAACCATTTGGTGGCTTTGCTAAACGACGAATCGGATGAGGTGTTGACAAATGTCGTCGGTGCCATTGCTGAGTGTGTAAGGTTTCAACATAATCGCGATGTCCTAAGGAATGCAAATGGTTTGCCTTCCTTAGTTTCACTGTTGAATTCTTCCCATGCTCCGTTATTGGAGAATTTAGCTAAAGCCCTGAAAGAGTGTGCCGAAGATGCAGAGAGTATGCGCATATTGGAAGATTTGGATGCCGTGCGCCTTATTTGGTCGCTTCTGAAAAACACCAATCCAAGGGTACAAGCGTATGCGGCATATGCCATATGTCCATGTGTGGAGAACGCTCGAGAATCAGGGGAATTGGTTCGAAGTTTGGTTGGAGCTATGGAATTGGTAGTGGGCCTATTAAAATCTAGAGATATTCTAGTATTGTCGGCAGTATGCGCTGCCATTGCAACAATCGCCATAGATAGCACTAACTTAGCCATATTAACGGATTTGAAAGTGATATATAAATTGGCCGAATTGGGTAGGTTTATGAAATCCTTAGCCATATAAAGAAAGGTTACTACAAGGTATGTCCACCATATCATTAAGTCATTATAAATTCTAATTCGTATTTAAGCAAATGGTGGACTTTGATCAGGGACGCAGTATGGGTTTATATCTCCCATAGTTCCGACTTTTATTAGTGGCTATTTTTATTTAAATTATCTACTAAAGATTTTTATTTTTTAATCATAAGGTCGACATATAACCACCTATATAATTTTAACTATAATTATTATTTTTCCCTCAAGTCAATACCACGGAGGATTTATTGCGGAAAAACCTAGCGGCAGCTATTGCAAGCTGTGCCACCTATGGTAATAACACTCAAGAGTTGGGTCGCTTGCGTACAGTTACTCCAATTGTTTCCTATATGACCAGCGATGACCCAGAAGTTCATCGCACTACAGCTATGGCTTTAGAAAAGCTATCGATGGACCCTCAGAACTGCATAACAATGCATCAGGTATACACATATTTTTTAAAGAAGTCTTTTGAAAATGACAACTAAATAATTATCATTTCAGAGTGGTGTTGTGCCCTTCCTATTGGAATGTGTGGGCTCTACCAACAAAGAGTTGCAATTGGCAGCAGCTGGATGTTTGCGCAATATTCGAGAATTAGCATTGAGAGCTGAAGAATATTTGCTTAAAATCGATGATGATTAATCTCCCCATCCACTACATTCAAATAAAACAGACGATTACACTTGTGTCTGTATATCTTTGCACAATTTTAATTTCCTTTGGTATAATAATTAAATAAATACACTTACAAAAAATATAAATTTGTTCTAAGCTATTTACACAGTCAGTTTTTCATTGGTGACAATTCACATAGAATATTCTAAATTAATTCAATAGCTGGCATTGCTGCCTCTTGTCGAAATGCTCATGCGTCGTTCGACCCGATTTGTGTGCGGTAGAAGACAGCCTGGTGGTGGATAACGCCAACGTCGTGGCCTCGACAACAATGTACCATCTGTCGATGCACGACTGCGGAATGGTGTCTCCAATTCACTGTGAGAACTATTCAAGCTGCTAGATCTCATATCGTCATTTGATTCGGAATGGTCATTCTCCTCCGGGCATGCACTGCCTATCACCAAAAAGGAACGTCTTGTTTCATTGACCAGAGAGGCGGTCTCATAGAATGAACAACCGGAATCTGGACTTATGGCCTCGTTTTGAACATCACTTGTGGAACGTTTGAGTTTGGGATTTTTGCTAGATACTCGCCAAAACCGGAAAACATCTCGAAATACATCCTGGACCTGAAAAAGGTGATAATAGATATTTAATGATGGAAAAAAACTTAGTTTTAGTAATGTTCGCTTACCTGATCCACACTCTCTCTAACTGAGATCTCATGGAAACAGGCACAGGATAATTCTTGAAATCTCCTTCGACCCTCCTCTACACTGACCATACGATCACCAGTTTGATCGTTTTTATTTCCCACTAATATGACGGGGACATCCGCCATACCGTCCTTACTGTTTGAGCCCAACTTACGCCGCTTCTTATTGTAATTGATGAGAAATTTCAGACGATTGCATTCGTCGAAACTGCACTTGTCGGTAACTGAGTACATTAAAATGAAGGCGTCAGCCCAACGTATATTTGTTTCCAAATTACTGCAATCGTTTTCCTGCAATCGTGGGAAGAGAAAATATTGTAATAGTATTAAAAGGAAGGATCCAATCAAAAATAAGGATAATGTTGCTAAGTAGTTCCGACCCCTCACATTAAATTTGTATTGCCCAATTAATGTTAATATTTAAGAAGTTTGAGTAGTTTCAATCCCTCCCTTTTAAATAATATTTTTTTAAATTATATATATTTATATTATTTTGAGCAATATTAATTCAATTTGTCAGAATGAAATATATATTTTTAATATTTTATACCTTAATTTACATTTATAATTCTACTTTTTTTATTGTACATTGTAATTGCCACTTTGAGTAGTTTATATTGAGATTCTACTGTATAATATATGTTCTGTTCCCGAACTGCAAGAATCTACTCCTTTTTACTACGATAACGAATTTTCCTTTGTGGTATCGAATAAAATAGTAAAATCTAATAGATTCTTGTAGTAAGGGAAAAGACCTATAATTTTAAACATTTTAGTATAACCGAAATAAAAATTAATCAAATACTTACATTTTGTTGTCCCGTAGCATCCAATATATCAAATTGAACATAATCATTGTCTAGCGTTGTATTAAAGGTATAAACTTTTTCCAAATTCGGATCATATTCACCAATGTAACGGCGTGTAATGAATCGTACAACCATAGCGGTTTTACCCACACCACTTTGACCCAGAACCATAACCTTCAGAGATTTCTGTTTGGTATGAATACCAAGTTTAGCCAACGAGGACTTCGGTGATGTTGTATTCATTGGACACGATGAACTGAAAGTGAACATTCATGAAAGCGAGTAAAATAAAATAAATAACGAAGAAAATGCGTTAATACTTCAAAAGAGTTGTTGCTGTGCGGTGGTAGTAGACCTTCAACAATTCACAGGAATCAAAATTAAAATTTACTTTGTCAGAATCGATGGTTGTTGGTGTGTATTTATTTACACACTCGTTCACATAACCTACATACATATTTGTTTAGGTTTGTTGTTGTCGGACTAGTCTGTCTTTTATACTCGTACAACAATCATAAGTGTCCTTAGAGTGGAAACAATAAAACATCGTAAATGTTAAACGGACTAAATGATGTAGTATTTTTCTAGTTGTTTGATTTTTTTATATTTATTTGCCGCATGCCAAAGCGTTTAAAAGGACATGTTGCTCGCTTTGTTCCACACCCCCCGCTTTACTCTGCGAACTTCTTCCCAGGAAAAAAATGAATAAGAATTCCACAAATACATACAATCGGAATTCAATATAGAGAATAGCTTTGGTTCTTTTGCAGCAAGGGAAGGGGAAGGGAAGTTGGGGGAAGGAAACAGTTAAAATATGTTCAACAGGAACAATAATACAAATATTTTTGAAACTACGCAAATAAATTTACGCAGTTTTTTTTGTATAAATATTTAAATATATTAAAATAGAAGGGTGTTTTATTTTTATAGTGTGTTACTACGTGTTACAGAATGTTATTGTTAGGTTTTCCCATATAACGTAATTTTTTGTAGAATTTTTTTGACAAACACATAAAATATAAACTCCCTAAATATCTTCCGCTAATATAATAATAGATTTTTGTACACATGTATTGTGGTGTGTCTCAAACAATTGCAGAATCATTTTCTTTTTTTAGCTATCATTCAATTTTGTGAGCAAATCAGAGGAATTTTAAAGGATTTTCCAAAATTTAATCTGATTAATTTGTAATATAAGATTGGGTTATGTGAAGGTGGTATATATGTTTTTAATCCAAAATTGGTGGGGAACGTTAATTAACTCATCTAATTAACAAAACCGCTGAACAAATAACAAATTCTGAAAACCAAAATTGAACCAAGTTTTGTTTTAGAAACTTTGAACTTTCTAGATTCGCTGGTTATTAATAACTATTAGAATTAAAATTCAATCTACATAATAAGAGCAAATTAGCATACTTATGGGATGATTCGCCCTTGACGGAAGAAAACTGGGTAGTCCCATATAACGGACTCTTTCACTTTTTAAGCATTTTAAAATGCATTGTCAAAATTTTCAATCTATTTACGTTACTTCTCGTTTGGAAAACAAAAATATATAGGTCTAAACGTACAGTGGCAAGCAAAGGTGTACGAAAATTGTACATTTTCTACTAAAATGTCTATAAAGATTGTTGTATTTCAGCGAAAATTGGAAAGGTTATTCAATATTGGTAAGGTTATTCAATATTATATATGATACATGGTGTATGACATGGGGGTACAGTTTAATGGTTTGGGGGGTGTTTCACATGGTCATGATTTAGATAGGAGGTATAATAAGGAAGAATCATTATCTCAACTATTCTTTAAACTAATTTGTTAGAAAAAACTGCATATCCCTATGGAGATTTACAATTTCAACAATTGTTAGAAATAGGTTGTCGAACCAACAATTTTAATTGATCAAATGGCCAGCACAAAACCGTATCTTAATCCTATCGAAAATTTGTGAGCCTCTTTGAATAGGAGCCTGCCAGTTTTGAAAGATCACCAAAGGATGAACTCTGGCAAAGATCACAAGAGGAATGTAACAAAATCCCAGGTCAAATCTTGAAAAAAATGGATGGAGAGTTTTCAAAGCACATTCAATTTGTAAAAAAGAGCAAAGATTGTGGACAAAGTATTAACAGTTCCTTAATATTTTGATTTTTTCTTATACGTGCAAAAGGGCACGAATTGAGTTATTTTTAATTTTAATTACTTTCTTAAAATATTGTGTATATATTTTTTAATTTTTTCAGTAGTGTTGGCGGGTTATGTATGGCATTGTCTGCTGAATGGTAAGGCAGGGAAGACTATAGTTTCGGATCTCGCCACTGATCGTCCTTAGTTCCCTTCGTTGGGATATTCTCCCCAGAAGCTATTTATAGCTTCTTTCCAAAAAACCGTTCATACCCAAATGTCTCTTGTAACAAGAAGTATTTACGTTCCCAGTTTTTTTTTTATAAAAACAACAAACTGGGATTCAGCTTGACTATTTTGCAAAAGCATTTCTAACATTTTTATATTAAAAATTTTATATATAGTAAATAAATAAGCAAACCTGTAACGTTTATATCAAAAGGTTGAGGGAGGAATTCCCAACATTAGTGCATAAAAATGATGGGTCGTTGTTATTATTTCCTTAAAAAAGTCGTACCTTTTTTTCATTTTAATAACAAAATTCATTGGTAATCTGGATTATTATATTTTTTCCTATAAAAATTCTTCGAAATTTTTCATCGGTTTTTTTGGTTACCAACCAACAAACAATAATATTCCCCTTAAATCTGTGAGAATACTTCAAAATTATTTAATAAGGATTTCCATGTTGTTCTGATGTGTATAGCAATAAAGTACACAATTTAAGGAACTTATACTTTGATATGTTATTCATATCGGGAAAACCCCATTTCATGTCCTTTCTTAAGTTGTATACCTCTGTACAAACATTCTTGCCTTCTGGATTTTGTTTTCGTTTTATACCAAAAAAAGAAGGCACAACAAAGTATAAGGACCTCATCCTTAGTGTTCACATTTTGGAAAGGGAAACACAATATTTCGTTCATTGATCCCCAAGAAGGAAAAAACCCGTTACCATGTGTTTGTCGATTATGTGTACATGTATGTGGATGTGTAGGTAAGCACATATTTACATTGGAATGCCAGTCAACTATCCTCAATCAAGTGGCATATAGGCGTGTGTACATTCATGTATGTTAAGTAGATGGCACATTGAATGTCAAGAAATTTGCATATGTCAGTTGGGATGTGTTATCTTTTCTTTTGATATCCCATTTCATTTTCTATCCTTATAAAACTGCAGTGTGGGGAATGTAAATGTGTAACAAGAAAGCAAGGAGTTGGAAATTGTCTTTGGAATTATCAAGTTAAGTAGTATCTAAATTGTTTGTATTCTGGAAATGTTTTGATACAATGTGACCATAGCGTCTATTTGTAATTATTAAGGACAATAAGGATGAATAGATTATTCTTAAATAAACATTATAATAATGATTATGCTGATGTGTGAATTGAATTGTACTCCTAAATGTTATGCCAGTTATCTATGTACGTGCATATAAAAATACTGTACACTAGTACAATAACAATCAATCATCATTTTATCCCTTTTTAATTAAAAATATTTCAATTTCATTTACTTACTGTTGAGAATTCTCAGGTATCAATCTGTTGAATTTATTTACATATGTAAATATGTAAACAATAATCATCATACCGAGAATAGGACAATAACTGTTGACAATTTTTATGTGACACCTGTTGGAGGCTATAACGCTTTTGTTTACATAGAAATAATTGAATTTTGACAACAATACCATAGATGTGGTTTTTGTTTTTATTATTATCCTCATCATCATTACAACGTCATTTTAACACACACACACACACATAGATAACTGAAGCTTCGTAACCCAGTGCCAAATCGGGTCATCATCATCATTATTATTTATTGGCGAGTTATCATCATCGGAGTAATGGATTGAAACCATGGAATGGGTTGTATTCTTTTCAAGATCAACAACAAATTATAAAATTAAATACTGAAATCTGTTAGATGGAAATCCCCGGTTACAGTCATTCTACAGACACTGTTACCCATCCTTACCACCCATGGAAACCCAACGCTTGATTGTATCCACCACACAACTATGAATATTGTTATCGTCCTCGTGCAAGTGGATGACAAAACAAAACAACAACACAAACCAAAAACGATTGAAATAATCGAAAAAGGTAAACAAACGAGTAACCAACCCAAAGGTCATGGGAAATGGAACACTTGTTGCCGCCACTCCTGACTAGCCAAAGGCGAACTGTTGTCGAAGGTAACCGAGCAAATGTACGATAATGATGACAACATCAGCACTTTTACAACTACAGCCGCAATCAACCTATTTATTGCAAACGGACATTGGACAATGTGATGGCTAACATATTTGTATATATAAGTGCATATATATGTGTGTATAAACAGTGGGAAACAAAATTGTGTTACCATCCTTGAAAATAGCAACCTGAGCTATTTAGCAAAGCTGATATGGACAGGGCCGAAGATTTGTTTATTATACCCTATACAACTGTGTTGTCAGAGTATTATAGCTTTGTGCAGCCACAAGGGTTTGTAACGCCACGAAATATTAGTTCTGGACCACCTGTAAGAAGACCGATCGTCATATGCCGACTAGCTGAGTCGATCTAGACATGTGTGTCGGTCCGCCTGTTATGAACCAATCTTCACGTAACTTTGCATATAGGAGGGGTTCTGGCCAATGAATACCTCTATTGTTTTTGGCAAAGATCGGTTAAAATTTGGTGGGATGAAATGGACCAAAACTTTATTTTGTCTGATTTTTTTCTGTATTTTGAGGTTCTTGAGCGTGTTTTTCAACTGAATTCGCTGAAATTTGGTACTTTGAGTTCTTATTGGGTAAAAAAATCTACCAGAAAATCTAAAAATTATAAATATGGGTTCATTTTCTCGGATAGCCCCCATATAAGGGTACCCCCAATTTTGAGATATTTTTGGAGGTTTTTAGGTGCGTTTTATAACTAAATTCGCTGAAATTTGGTACATTGGGTTTTTATTCCACTAAAAAGTATAAATATAGGTCCACCTTTTCTGGTAGTCCCCATATAACGGAACCCCTGACATTTTTATTTGGTTTTTGTAGAATTATCGGTATAGGTTCATATTTTGGTATTTTTCCCTATATTTTCACTTCAAGTATCTGTCAGCATACCTTTGGTGGA